AAGGGGTATTCTGGTGGCGTTATGTCCGGACTGTATGGGGGGGGGTGTGACAAGACATCCCGCCCAAGCTCTAGCAATTTTCAACGAGTGGCCAAAAACACGTGTGGTCTGGAGGTATCCTGTTGGAAAACTACGCCCTCACGACTGGCCAGTTCGGGTCGCTTCTGACCTATCGCTGTCTCCAAATTGTTAAGCTAGGTATAGTACCTTTCAGAAGCTATCGTTTGATTGTGCGACAAAAGCTCATGATAAGTAATTTCCCTCCAATCCCACCAGCAGCATAGCATAATCTTCCGCACTGGATTTTGACTTCTGCTGCGGTTTGTGACTGCTCACTGGGAAGGCTCTGCGATCGTTTCCGCTGCTCGTTGTTGTACACGATCAACTTTTCGTCCTCCCTACTCATGCGTTTTAAAAACAGCTCATTTTTATTTCGTCTGAGCAAGGAGTGGCACACGGACGCGCGGTAACCATATTGCGCTCGCTCATTCCGTGAGGTGTCCCAAAACCAAGGCACTTTACAAAACCAAGGTTCAGCAAATGATCATGGATGGCTGATTTCGAAACATTAAGCCTTTGTCCTTCTCTGCGATAAGCGCTGCGCCAATTCACTTCCGTTAACATTTTGATTTGGTCTTTTTAACTGATGATAGCCCCCTGAGGGTTGCCGTCTTCGAGGGCGTATTCACTCTGTTTGGGTTTCGCAAACCGATCACACACTGTACGTCCCTCTAGAGCATTGTCTACTCAAACGTCACAAATCTTCCTCACGGCTTGAGACTAGGCCTTGCTGTAGAAAAAAAATTCAGATGCCGAAAATGCACGCAATGGCTCTCAATTTTCACAAGAGCCCTGTACTGACAAACTTTGACAAATGTCGACAGAATCCCAACAGGAATATAAAAGAGGAACTACTCTTCCAGACAACATATAACTCTATAAGGTTAAGTATTGATTTTTTGTACATTGGATGATGAACCCACGGTGTTCAAAATCGGCGGAAACTTCTCGGACAACCCAATATTTTGATCTCCGAGTCCAGAAAGACGCGAAGCTGGAATGCGCTACTGTGTTCTATGAATGTGAATGAGTTTGAAATATTGACATCATTTCCAAAATGTGTATTACTGGCATAATTTGCATAATGGAATGGATGAAAGCGGTAACTCGTGAAACTCTTTACAGTGCCTTTCCTCAGTGCTCGATTGATGAGGATACCTGAAAGGTTTCGTGACCCTTGAGTCTTCACACTTAATCAGGTTCTTTTCGCACCAGGGTGCGAAGCAACACTAATTAGGCCGATAGCTGATCATAATCCAAGAGGCTGGCTGCTTTGGACGAGTTGGTTGGCGCAGAAATTGCGTTATATGGGTGGCAACTGAGGCCCATATAACACACCAATAGCAAAGTGGCTGCGAAAGGCAGCGCCAAACGACATACACCCCTTCCGCTCTGTACCGACACTCCACCTAGTATGAATGCGGCCATACGGATTACTTTGTGACGTCATTGACTGAGAGGCAAAACCCTCCCTTTTTCGTCGTAAGGTGGTCCTTATTTGGTTGTTTTCAACCACAGAGCGATCAAACCTTTTGAAATGAGAGGAGGAAGGGTGGGAAATTTTGACGTCCTCACTGGATGGCATCACACGTCATCAAACACTCTGTTGATTGCTTTTCATTGCTGTCGGAAGGGCCAACTTACGCGTGCAAGCGGCGTGTCTGGTAAGAGATTTGACTGAGAGGAGAACTAGTATGACCTATTAATTCAGAGGCCCAAGAGAGTATATGAGGGGGGCAACCTAACAGAAAAGTTCTTGTGTTGTGATTTCGACTCGGACAACCTCCCACGGACCACTGGGATGGGGGTTCGGTCCGGCACTCGGTTCTTACAGTAACCCCCTGGCTTACCCCACCACCCACCCCGTGTCCTTGCCCAAAGCCCCTTTTCGACGCGTCGTATATGTGACGGGTAAAAATATGCGTATTAACACGTGCCGGATTACTGTAAGAACCGAGTGCCGGACTGAATTTTCGTTCCTGTCCACGGACCTGCCCCGGCCGCCGCCCTCCCTGACGGAACCCCTTCGGACTCGGCGCCAGCGCTCGACAANTTTTTTTTGTTTTCTTTGTATCGCTGTTTTATTTCGTGACGTGTTTGTTGTTATTCGCCGGATAAATTGTTTTGTTAACTGCTCTTGTTCGTGGGTCGGTCACAACCGTAACTATTGGAGTTTTGCCTAACATTACATGGGGGCCGAACCTCTGACGTGCGATTTGCTGTAATTGACTTTAAGCGAAATTTTGAATGTAGATGTTCATTATGACCACATACATGAACGAACTCTTTACTATTCGTTCTAGGTGCATGATTTCCAAAAATAATAATATTTAACCGGAATTATGGCATCATGTATACCCCAAATTCCGCTTAAATATTATGATTTCTGTGTTTATCAGGTTGTATAAAGAATGTTTCTTTCCTCTTTTTGAGGAAGATCGCAGGTAAACGATTGTGGAAATGTGGTGCACGCTTTATGTAGCCCAACTAGAACAATCAAAAGGATGTAAAAATCTCAGGTGACTAACAAAAAGGAGTGTAGTTGGCTTCCACCACAAACGATGTAATTCTGTTCCATTGCAAATCACGATTTCAATTATGTTTCCAAGCGTTGGTGGAACTATGCTGCGTTCTAGTGTGCCTGCCCAAAAAGTCAAGGAAATTACTATGACCTGTGAAAAGTGAATTAGCTATGTGGTCACTACGATTCCACATAATCGTGAAAGCGCAAAACGTACCCAAACTGCCTCGAAACTATAAATACGGAAAGAAGTAATAGAAAGCACATGCAATCAGTTCTTGAAATAGTGCTCAGAAACCTCAGAGTAAAAATCTAACTAATCGGGACTCTGTTAGATTAGCCAAGTTAACAGGAGTTTAGAAAGACTACTCATAAAAGTAATGCGCGAGGCGCTTCAGCCAATATATGATCTCCTAACGCTGAAAGAAAGGACTTTCCGTTTTTGACAGAAATTCTGCAGCGCAACATGATTTCTGAAAATAATTTGGAGCAGTTGAAAGTAGCAGTAACCTTTACACTCGATCTTGACAATGAAGTTCTCATTCATGAGTGGCTGTTAANGTTAAACAAGCATGACAATCCCTGACAAACGTCTCAAAAAGCACTTGAACTATAGGAACTGTAGAAATGAACTTTCGAAACCTCTATTAAGGAAAGCTTCAATGATTTCATAGCCAGGTATTCTACAGGAGAAGTTGGTTTTTTTGGATTTTCATTTTCCTTTTCATTGATACATTCTATACACTGGACGGAAATTGAACTTACACAATCCTTTCCGCATCAGGTAAAGTTCCTATCAAGAAGCCACCCTCTCGCAAGGTTTCCGTTGCATTACGTAGAAAAGTACGAGCCGATTCCTCATCAATAAACGAATAATGCAGCGCGAACTGACAGCTGACCAAATCGAACTCTGCTGAGCCCGGAATCTTTTCTTTTAAGTTTTCCTGGAAAAAGGTTCTGATTTTGTTTGAATGAAAATTATGAACTGAAAATCGAGCGTCTGAAATCAAAAGGGTAAATCATTGCAAGCCCCACTCCCCAGTTAGGTACCGATTTTCCACTTCCTTACTCTTTCAAAGATAAGATGAACTCAGGATTATTGGAAAGCATGTACTTCTGACATAAATACTTACACAAAAATTCGTGCACAACGATGAACCAATTGAATCATTCAATTGGGTGCTGAGACTTTATCAAGCAAGATTGATTGAAAGAAGAGATTTCGAACAATCAGGCTTTAAGATAAATGAAAATCGAGAGGAAAATACACGTATGGAAGGTTATTACTACAGGAAAATCTCGGTCACCAATACCGTTTGAAGGCATTTACTCCACAGTTGAGACATTTTCGTTCCTCTGCGAAAAGACTAGATGTGTTCCGAATTTAACTTACCTTACAACAATCTGCATGAACAAAGTCAACCGGAAATAAACCATTCCGCTCTGTTCGAGCCATTTCACTATACCTTTCCCTTGCCTGGTCCAGTGACACTTGTGCGACATCTAAATGGTTTAAAAAATAAAAGCGGATTCAAATGAAGCAATAACTTATTCGACGTAGATAAACAGAGCGACAAACCAGCCATCACGACACTATCTACATTAGCAATTTTCCACTTCCTGAGATCTCCGCCTTTTCCACATGCAAGGTCCAGTATCCGGGGCCGAAACAACTTGTTAACACTCTCCTGTCGTAGCAACTGAAGTGATTCATCTGAAAAAAGCCAACTATGACCGATTTAATTAGGGAAAGTGCAGAAGATTTCTTCAAGAATTCATGAAAACTGGGTATGTACAAGAGTTTTCGAGGAGCGGTTCTTAAAGAACGTGGCTAACCTACTTATCAGTTCACTTTTCATGAAATTGTTCAGGTTTCTGAGATAATATATTCTGCTCTGGGCGCGGCCAACCAAACCCTGTTGTTGAACTGCGTTGTAGTGATGAGCTACTGTCTCTGAACTCATCTGCGACAAAATATGAACAGATTCAAATAATATTGTAATGTATGTAATAATATTGTAACAGCAATAGTAACAAGTATGAAAAACATGGAATGATTTCCATGACGCTCACGCTCTGAAATTGAACGTCGATATTTATTAGTGTCCATTCATACAATAGAACATACGTCAACAAATTTCCAACAGTCAGCTTCATAGCCGGTCCAAATACTTTTCATAATTGACTTTCTAAAGGGTTTCAAAAAGTCACACAAGCCAAAATAGTATATTATACAAAAAGCACGAAGAAAGTGTAGGCGCGAAACCGTGACCATATTCCCGCGTGTAAAACACTTAACAAATCAAAGCAAGCATTTATTCTTCACAAGAACCTTTCTTCTGTGGTCGAGATGTTTGCAGAACGGGAATATATGGATCCTCCTCGTCTTCGCTATCCGAAGAAGCACTGTCACTGAAAACCCAAATCTACTATTTCCTAGGACATCCGGGGACAGGCTTAATCGCCACATGTTACTCGTTATGATAACCGCTATAGAAATGAAATGCCAAATAGCGATCAAGCCGAAAACACTTAGCGTTACTCAATCTTTTCGCAAAAAATCAACATCATGTTTGCGATCCTCTTGCAGTTATCATCACATATGTTTTCAACTGATTCCCTCTCCAATCCGCTCTCACACCTCTTGCACTACCATGCGAGCCTATGAGTCATTGGTTAGTGCCTGATCCTAAACCGAATGCTACTACCTTTGATGGCCACTGTTGTAATTCCACTAAAAATCGGTGCACCTGAATGCGCAAGTGTTCTACTTTTCGAACCAGTTGATTTAAAGTTGATGGTTTTTGTCAACCCTCGGTAACAGAAAGCTAAGCCAAAACCAAGGGTATCGTGAAACTAGAATGAAGATGGAATTAAAATAAAGCCTAAAGCGCCAGCAGCCACAAAAAGACAAGTCTTTCGAAAACCTTCCCTGAAGTCGAACTATTATAATTCTTAACGTATACCTGGAGGCTTCATAACTGCCAATACCAGGTATGGAGCCAACAACTTTCATTGCAGAAGCTGCAGGCTGAGCTGATGGAATGCAGTCCGAAACTTCAGTACGCACTATTTTTCCAGTAGAATCTTCGCTACCATTACTTGATCTTGAAAATGCAATCAGCAGGACACAACTAACCAAGAACACAAAACGAGGGGCAAGCGACTTACGATTTCCGCTTAATAGCCGAAGATAATATAGCCGCCTGTTTGGATTTTGGTGGCTTATCATTTTTAGGAAGAACTTTAAGTTGGGATATCGTTGGCGGCTCTATTAAATTCTGCCTGCTCCTAACGAGGGCGGCCTCTTTGATAGCTTCCTCTTCTTCCTGGAAAAAAACTCTACGCATTGACTGTACTGCGATGTGCAGAATTGGGAACTTACTCTTCTTGCTTTTCGTAGCTCTTCTGATTTAAGCTCGCTTACACGAGCTAGAAAATCGCTTTCGTCTTCATCTATACCACGGATCATATTTTCTGAAATCAAAACTATGCTAAATTGAATCCTTGTGCCCCCAGTGGAATGCTGCCGGCAGGAACGTCAACGCTCTACCACTGCTTCAAAATCATACACGCGTTTTTTATCAACCACCGAAAAAAAAGTAGAAGGGAAATCTCGATGTATCCCGTCGTATTTGAATTTTATCAAACTCACTGAATTTCTTAGCTTCGTCGATTTCGGCTTGTTTGGCTTCCCTATTATCCCTAAGTTGTTCATAGAGAGATTTGTTGCAAACTTCAGGTTCCGGGGCTTCTGAAAAATAATGGGAACGTAGACTTGAGCAAGAGTCGACTTGACCTTTAGATAGCCTATTTCGAAGACTTGTCAGCACTTCACAATTAAGCAATCGTCCTGCAAATAAGAATAGGCTACATCCTTCAAAGTTTCAAAACACACTACGCCGTTATAAGAGGGCCTATTAAAGTTTACTTTCAGCAAAACTCAAGCAAAAGGACTCACCAACAGGATCATCAGGTTTCCTCACTTTTTCCCATTCCTCTTGTCGCTTCTTCCGCTGTTCTTCCAGTTCATCCGATGAAACGAACCCACTGGACATAATTTAACGAAGCCACTGAATGAATTTTAAGCCCTCCAGCAACATAAAAATATTTGCTGGACCATCTTATGGGATACTACATAAATGCGAGTTAATGTAAAAGAAACAGTCAAGCGACAGATCGTACCTCTCTAGTAAACGTGTCTCAATCGAGCAACCAAGACTTGTGTGGAAAGCCAACTAGTTAAATGTTCCTCTGTGTCTGCTCAATGGAGTCAGGCTACAAAAAGATGAACATGCCACACTTACTTGTTTCTGTTACTTGCTACTTGAAGTCTTCCATACATATGACGAGTACTACTGGGCAGAAGGAATAAAAGCAGGTGCTAAGTGGGTTGGGGGGAGGGGACCACGCGTCGCGTCACCCTGCGTCTCTCCAGCGAGATAGTAGACAAGGAAGGGTAGGCGAGCCCGAACGGTGTTTAGGGGCATTTCATAGCTTTTTTTTATGTTATAACTGTGTATTTTTCACCTAATTTTAGGAAGGGGGAGGGGCTCCGGGGTGGG